AAGATTGAACAATATCTCCCATGCCGACCTTCCTTTTAGCTGAAAAGGAACGAGCTGGAGTTGTCTGTGGAGTTTCTTTCTCAGTTTTCTCCACAGTCTTAGCCCAAACCTAGAGGACACACTGTGTCGGACTCTTTTGTTGGGTCAACTTGGGCTGCCACATCCCAATTAAGCAGTGCTTAGTAACCCATGCTTCTTTGTAGGTTGAGCACGGAGCAACAAGAAACAAAGTGTACTGTTCGAGACACTGATTAGACACCCAATATCGAATTGCTAGCTCGGCTTGAGCTTCACCTCCGCCGGCCAGCTTCCTGGCGACTGAGAATCTGTTAGACTCTCTTCGAAAAACTGATTGGCTCGTGGATCCTATGTACATAAATGTGGAAGGCTGCCTGTATTTCTCAATACTTGCAAAATGGCGCCAGTCCACAGCTGTCTTCATGTACACCGCATTCTGAGATTGAAATCGTGGCCACGTGTAGGTGGCAGGGTGGACCCGAAAATGCTGAAGCTTTTGTCGAATAGTCTCAGCATAAAACGAGAGGGAACCTTCTTGAAAGTAAAACAGCAACAACAAATGAAGCAAGCCTTGGGCCCACAGTGCAGACTCTTTGTTGAAGCCTGAACAGTGGTGCAAAAAGAACGTCACAGCCTCTCCCAACATACAAATTTGCTGCTTGATTCCCTGTTTGCTGGAAGCAGCAAGATGTTGGCATTGAGCTGCTAGTCAAGCAGTTTGAAATTGTGCAACGGCAATCACTGTGGACAAATTCTTAATGGACAGTCGGGATGCCAGCTTCGGATCTAGTCCGAACTCTTTTGCAGCAGAGACCAGTTGGTCTTTGGAGGCTTCAGTTTTGAGAAGCTTCTGAACAGTCTGTACATGCTTAACAAGCAGCTGGTACTTGCCTTTAAACTCTGGCTTGTTCTTGTAAGTGGCCAGCCTTCAGTGACATGGTCATCTGTGGCTCCTTTGGGACGTGTTTCCAGCTTTCTTTGAGGGTCCTTAAGGAGCTTTTCAGCTTCCATTTAAGACTCCGGCTCAGTGCCCTTCTTTCTGAGTCTGGCTCAGGATCTTCAGTTGCCTTTCTCTTCAAAGGGGACATTGCAATGCCGTGCTCAGCCAGTTTGGCTTTGGCTTTGGCAAGCTCTTCAGAGGCATCCGAATTTGTGACAGACGCCTTGGCCAAAACACAATTCAAAAGTTCTTGAGCAAGCGGTTCCATGAATCGCATTGCTTCCTTATGTTTGTCCGGCGGTGCGGAGCTGTGGCAGGCTTTGGCTGCTTCATCGATAGAAACACCACTCTCACGAAGCTTCTTCAACAGCGCTGTGATGAGTACCGATTCTTGGCCACTTCGAGCCCAGACGATACTCTGATGCCGTCCTTCCGACAGCAACCGGAACGAGAAATCTCCAAGGCCTCGGTGGGAGAGCTCAAAGGCACGGATGTCACTGACATCACGGCCGGCTAACCCTGCTTTCCGGGACCACTCTGTTGGTTGAACCAACTTGTGCAGCACATGGGCACCTTTGCCCAAAGGGGTCTTGTCGTAGTGCTCCTGATCAGAAACAAAAGAAGACGGCAACGTAAAAGATTGATAAGTGGGGCTGGCTACATGCTCCCACGACTTCTCAGAGTACTTGGAGTCCCATTTGTCGTCTTTGCTCCATCGATTCCATTGTTGTCTGTTGTCCCAGCTGCTGCTAGAATCGCTGGTAGACCATGATGACCAAGAGGCCATGGCGGGATAAGTTGTCCAGGGGAGAACAGTTGCTTGATCAGACTGACGGCTGTTGTGAAACGGAAGGGCATCAGTCCTGTCTGCAACTAGGCGATCCGGCCTTGAACTGAGGAATGATTCCTCCGTAGAGCAATTGCGAAATCGAGACCAAGAGGTCTTGATGTTTGTTTAAGCCGATCAGGGCTTTGACCGTTCAGGGTCCTTTGTTTTGACTGGGCCGATCAGGGCCAGGCAGTAGGCTACCCTACCGTAGACGACACGATCGACGAAAGCCGTCTAGAGCACACTCGTGCAATCCTCCCTCTGGACTGATGGTAATTGTCGGAACTCAGTCTTTCAACATAGAGGTAAAGGATTTTAAGCCACTAGGCAGTAACATCAAACACATTTACATTTATTGGGGTTCTAGGCTTAGCCCCGGGCCATCACACTTGCAGAAACACTTGCAGGTACACCAAGCTGATCAGGCTTGGCTTCCCTCTCTGATGCATAGCTTCGTTGGGTACTGTAGCATCAGAGAGCCGTACCCCCCCTGCAAAAATAATGCATGTCAGCGAACCTTGGCAAACAGGTGTTCCACACACACACACACTCACCCACTCACTCACTCACTCACGCAATCACGCACTCACGCACTCACGCACTCACGCACTCACGCACTCACGCACTCACGCACTCACGCACTCACGCACTCACGCACTCACGCACTCACTCACTCACTCACTCACGCACTCACGCACTCACGCACTCACTCACTCACTCACACTCACTCACACACTCTCTCTCTCTCTCTCTCTTTCTTTCTTTCTATCTACCTATATATATATATACATACTTTATTGCTCTTTTTTTGTTTATGTTGCCGACAACTTGTTTTAAAACTCACTGCCAAACGAAACATGCAACAAACGATGCGCAGTCTTTCTGTTTTTTCGCACACCTTTTTGCTCCCGCAACTCCGGAACTATCGCTGTCACTTATCCTGCCTTGGGGTCGCGTGAGTGGCACGTTGGACTGGCAAAAGTCTGCTCAGCCCGTCTCTGCGGTAGGCTAGGCCTTCGACCCAATTTGCTCGTGGGTTGGGGCTTGGGCTGGGCTTGGGGGCCTGTTTCGGGGCGCAGGTTGCTCATGCTGATGGTTGGTTGGGGTTTGGGGCTGGTTTGAGGGATGCTTTGGGGAGCAGGTACTGTACGGAATGTGGTTGGTTGGGGTGGGGGGCAGGGCTTCGACGGAATCGCAGTGTGGGGAGGGGGTGGATGTGGGCAAGTGGGGGCTGATGATGTGCGGCTTTCGCCAGGGCCGAAAAGAAAGGTCGCGTTTTCGGCAGAACGTCGGACGCAGACAGCGTGGCTTGTTTGAGTGACAAAACCCCGCAATCAACATCGGACCTTCCAGCTGCCATATCGGATGTGTCGTTCGCGACAAATGAAGCAAGAAATACAAAAAAGATAAGGAGGCTTACCGACCTCATGCTATTGAAATCTTGTGAGTCTTTTATTGTTCCAAACCGCCTGTGTACGCTTGAACACAGAGCGGGGGACGAAGCACTGACATGTTATGTGCTGGGGTTTGTCATGGCCGAACAAACTGCAAAGTAGCCAAGGTGTGCCATGCCAGCAACCAAACCTATCAATTTGAGCGCATTCATTGGTAGGGAACGACGGGTGCACTATTCCCATAAGCTGTGGCTAATCTGGAGTTGCCATGCCGCTCGAACTTCTAAGTGCCAACGGCCCCGCACCGATCGTTTTCTCGCTTCCTGCTATAGGGCATGGACCCGGGCTCTTCGCTGCATCGCTACTGCCGGGTAGCAGCAGGAGGGGCACATAGTCTGGTTGTCACCGAGCGTTGTGACGTGCTGGCTTGGGGAAGCAACTCACATGGCCAAGTTGGCAACGGAAGTCTGGAAGACGTCCTGTACCCCACAGTCGTGGTGGACCCTGGGCATGCCCGCTATGTGTTTGCCGGAAGATCGTTTTCGTTGATGATTGATGTGGATGGATGGCTCTGGGGCTGGGGCTGCAATGAGGACAATATTCTGGGCATACCCACGGCAATCGAAAAACAGCAGGTGCCAGTCAAACTGGATACAGGCGGCCGGCGAGTCAAACATGTTTCCGGTGGTTGGAAGCACATACTGGCTGTATGCGAAGATGGCCAATTCATGAGTTGGGGCAACAATGACTATGGACAATTGGGCGATGGTAGCACCCAAAAGCGTCGTGAGCCTGGTGTCACGCCGCTTCCTGGTGGAGCCAGAGCAGCAGCTGTGTCAGCTGGCTGGTATCACAGCCTCGTGCTTACAGAGACTGGCGAAGTCCTTGGTGCCGGAATGGGTTATGGAGTCACCTCGCGTGGAACCGGTGAACAATTCGTGCAGGTCATCCGAGCTGGTGTCAGCATGATTTCGGCAGGTAGCACGCATAATTTGGCTGTGACCAGGACCGGCACAGTGTTGGCCTGGGGTGCCAATGATCACGGCCAGGTTGGAAATGGGTTGCTAGACTTTCAAGCAGCACCTACTGCAGTATGCACGAAGCAAATGATCGTGGCTGCCGGTGGCAGTCACAGCTTGTGCGCAAATGATGCGTACCATTGCGCGGCATGGGGCCATGGTGTACTACCAGCCAATGACCGAACCCTGGATTGCCCTGCCAGGTACAGCGTGTCCGAGCCGACACTTTTAGAGTTTCCAGATGGCGCCTTCTCTATAGCTGCAGGTGATGCTCACACCTTGATTGTAGGCGCCCTCGGTCAGGTGGGTGCATACGGATCCAACATGAGCGGGCAAATTGGCAATAATTCATTGACAGACAGCGGACGCTTGGTGGAAATCCTTCCGAGTGGAACCGTCGAAGTAATCAGCCAAGAAGCTCGCATGGCCGCTGCGATGAAGGGCCCGGCAGAAGAGTACATGCTGGACAACAAACCGAACGAGTCCGAGGACGTGACAGGAGCCGTGCAATTGGCTCTGGGACCCCGCAGCGGTGCTCTCCCAGACACTGGAGCCAGTGGCGGGGTTCCAGCTGTGCTGCGACAGGCGGCAGGTGTTTCATTGTCCAGAGATCTCATTGCCCACAAGCCACGTCGCGTGACATAGTCGTGCGAGAGCTGCATCGCGTCGTGCGAAGAGTTTCACTCGCACATCGCTGTTCTTGCAAATGCAGGGATGCAGCTGAAAAGGAGGCAGCAAGTTGTTGGAAGCATGATGCTTTAAGTAGGCACCTGTAAGACGCACGATACGACTCGCGTGAGGCAGTTGCGTGGCGACCTGGGCGACGACAAATTTCAGAACCTGGACTGTCTCCGCCTTGGCTTGACCAAAGTGCATACGACACACATGTCAGTTGCGATCAGCTGGATGTCCTAGGAGTACGCGGGTAAGGGGAGGTCAGGCTCATGGGGGCGATCTTGTTTTGGGATCGCCTGGAAATATGTTTCCTCAAACAACAACTGAAACTCACTCTATCCCCTGCCCCGCGCCCCTCTCTATGGAGGGTCCCAATCGCCATTTATTCCGCCTTCCTGCCGAGGCTCCATGTGGAGAAGCCTGTCTGGCGCAGTTTCCAGTTTCCATAGCTGCAGCTTTCAGCATGTCGCTGACATACCTCTGAGCCAGGCCGGAAGGCCTTGGTATCGTCGAGCAGCACCCGACCAAGGTCCTTTTGTGCTTGCACGTTTCAGGGTGGCCTGCGACTCGGCATGCCAGGTCTACACGATGACGGAGAAGCGCCATGTTCGGCAGGCACTTGTATTCAACATGTCGGAGTTTCACGTTCAGAGATACCATTACCACATCCTGAGCAGGTCGAGTCTAAAGCGGAGTTCTCGGCTGGCCCCTTATTGGGTTCTCATAGTCTGGTGGAACGACGGATTCTACCGTACGAGCTTTGCTTCCACATGACCCTTTTCCTCCCGGCCACGCAAAGCAAGCAGATCAACACCCCACGGTAACGAAAATCAAGAACGGGAGAACAGTCGCCATGTGCGTGTTGTGTTGCCGAACTAGCAATCAATGACTATCAATGCCTTGCGCCATCGCCAAGGACAAGCCGAATGGCAAGAGGCGCAGCTGGTGTGAGTAAGTTCCTAGCGGAAAAGCTGTAACTCTTCTACTTCGCATGTAGCTGTTGCAGGACGGTGTACAGAGAAAACGGCTTGCGTGCAAGCGATCAACCAGCTCGCGCCTTGTTACGGGGTATCAGGGCCAAAGCACCTCGCATTGCAGCCCGGTCTTTTTGCCAGGCCTTAGAGGTAGATGTCACCACCGAGATGGCGCGAAAGGCTGGCAGCGGAGCTGCCCATGTCCATGGTGTTTCAGCGGCATCACCGGTGCTCTCAGGCGCGGGTTGGCGACTTGCACGGCCAACGCAATGGGATTGACTGCCGAGTTCTAGGTGGCGCATCAGACCAGCAGGATGACGTCCGAGCACGGCAGCATGCCAGGAGACAAGTGCTTTCGCTTCCCAGAGTACGAGCCCAGCTTTTACAAGGCCGGAGGGTAGACTGCCGACTGCCACGTGCGACATAGGATAATGAAAAGAGAGGGCAGCAGCCAGCAGCCAGGCCGGAGAGTTAATCGCCGGGAGCAGCTTCCACCGTGGCATGTGTAAGAAGACGCAGCCGCAGCACGCTCGGATGTGAGTTGCTATCGTGAGGCTTGCGGAAAGTTGAAGACAAGAGGTGAAATTGTGTGTGTGTGTGTGTGTTGGCTAGGCGAAACAGCAGCAGTGTGGTTGTCGTCATGGAGTCGACAGGCCCGTCGCTTCGATTCGTGTGCAGCTGGAGTGTTGCCACATTTCGTCCAGGGTCCCGACCTCCCATCAAATCCTACCAGCAGAAGCAGCTGGAGCTTGAGGCCAGGGCTCAGGGTGCTATGCTGCTATGCTCTACCTTTTTCCTGTGCTGTAAACCTTCCTCAGAGGATTGAAGTTGCTTATGACAGGTGCAGGAAGCACAGGCTGAAGTGGTGGCTTTGACTAAATCCTGGGAGAACGAGACCCTGAAGGCCTGAAGATTCCTGAAGCTCTGAGCAGTTCTGCTGCAGGATGGCTGACCTCGCTTTTGCTACTTTGCGTGTCAGATGAGCCAGGATTGTGATAATTCGTACCTGGAGCCGCTGGATTCAGATGCTGCGCTCTCAGGGCTCCGCCGCTGCCATGTGCTGGCCTTGTTCCCTTCATTCACTTCCCTGCCTTCAATCTGCAAGGCTTGCCGTCTGCTCCTTGAATCTGCGCCCTGCGCCATCAGGACGAGCATGATGCGACAGCCGAGCCCGCACCGAAGGATGAAACAACAAAGGCAGACCCTGGGAAGAAGGTGCCATGTTTTTCGTTCCTTAAGCAACGGCTTCCAGACGTATCGGTTTCGAGGCCAAATAAATCCACGAGCAGACTCGGCCATGCAGACGAAATCTGGGTGCCTCGGCTTCCGTGCTTGACACCGAAACATGGTTCAGATGAGCTTGAGGCAGGGCGGCAGACAGTCTGAACAGCGGGCTGCTGTCAGTGTCCTGGCCTTGAAGGCATTGAAGGTACAAGTAACAAGGACGTGCAATTCTATGTTGTGATTTCTAGAGCATGTTTACTTCAGACGTGCTGTCGGCGTAGGCTAAGAACATTGGAAGGTCTCGAAGTGCAAACACTGACGGGTTTGTTAAGTTCTTTAAGTCTTTACTATTTCTTGTAGACAAAGTGGCCATTTGTAGCTTGCTTCTGTCCGTGTCATTCCTGGCAAGCATGGGCGACCGTGTCAAGCCCCAGTCTGAGATGAGGGGAAGAGAGGGTAAGCGGGATAGCAGCTTTCGAGGAGGTACTTGCTGGTGCAGGTTGACCCAATCAGCGGGCGTCAGGAGAAGGGTCATGATAAATGGAAGTTTCTTGAGATAGCCGGTGTTCTTCTTGAAATGTCCGGTGTTGCTCACAGGTTGCACGTCCAAGAATGTGAAAGCTCCTGACGTATCCAAGACTTTCAGTCACAGCATGCCCACTCCCGAGCCCGAGCGCTAAGTTTCACCACCAGTGCTCGAGTTGCTCTTTAGGGGCACTCCGACGAGCGACATCTCGACAGTTTCACCGATGACTTCAACTTCTTGGCCCGTCGCTCTCACAGAGAGGACAAACAAGTGAAGAGCATCGCACCTCGGCAGACGGCAGGCCCTTCCAAGCCTGTAAGAACAGAATGGAGCACTGCTAAAACGAGATGTGTTATGTCACGAGGGGTGTAGGGTTGCCAAGGATGCGTCTACGTTGGGGCCGTTGCGGTAATGCTCAATCTCTTCAAATTGTAAGTTTTGGTCACATCACAGCACAGTCCGGGCAAGTCCAATACAGAGCCGCCATCCTGCATCTGTGCATGGTATTTAATACGATGAAGATGAGCATGTTTCACTGCCTGCTGTTCGCCCTGGTCGCGGGTGCCCGCGCAGACTGGGCGACAGGGCCTCAGGTGCTTTGAGGTGTGTCAAACACAGTCTTCCGGATGTCCACGTCGTGCCCTGGCGATCCATCAGGTCGACGACGGTTGCCAACCGGACGGCAGGGCAGGCGCTGGAAGAAGCGGTCAAGCACAACTGGCACTTTGTCAGACGGCCGGTTTGCTGTAGAGAGTACTGTTGCTAGGAAGTGGTAGCCGTGCTCGGCCAGGAAGCGATTGGAAGCTCAATCCCACACAATTGAGCATTTCCACATGGAGGACATTCATTCCTTCTACTGGTGGGACTCGAAGATTGAGGCAAGTCGAGTGTCGTGGAGTCCTCTGTTCTATAGCTCGGTTGTCCCTCTAGCAGGAAGACCAGGAAGTTCGTGCGACCATCGACTCCGAGGCCTCGCTTCAGTTTTTGCCGCTCTGACATCGTTGCTAACACAGGCGAGCCTTGGCAGGTTCCGTTTGCCACTCTCATGGAAGCGATAGCTGCCGACCACCCATACGACTTGCCCATGATTGTCTCAAGCGCTGTCCCACCAGAGGGTGAGGCACTACGGGAGGTGTTGTCGAACTGGGGGGACTGAATTTTTCGGTGTTGCTGTTCTGACAACTTGCGAGTGTCTCGTTGATCGATGTCAATAAGACAGTTACGTGAGTATCCGTGTTCTTACAGTAGCGAAATGCATGCCCCGTTTTAAACTTTCTGATGTTCTTTCTGTAAACAGCTTTCGAGAACCGCAAAAAACCCTCAGAGCGGCGCGAGTATATCAGCCCAGGAGCCGACAACCTAGTTCGGGAGACCTTGCCTGGCCTGTCCGCGTGTGAGTGTCAAACTAAACCCTTGCAGCACCTCTTGCAAAAAAATTCTTCCACCGGCACCAGTGTGTCGCTGCCCACTGCGAATTTTAAGCCCAATCTAGCGAGTCCGAGTGCATAAAGCCCTTATCCCGCGTAAAGGCTTACATGCTCAGTCAACAGTCAACCTTGTACGACCTTGAGCGGCACGACTACCGGAAAAACAGTAGAACCAAAAACAGCACACCGCGTCGACAGCAACAGGGTTGCTTCGGACCGACTTTGCTTTGGGAGGCTGCGTCTGCAGATGCGCCAGCAGTTGAGCTGAAGTATGTCATGGGCATGGCGCTGGTGTCCATCTTGGGTAGCGTTGGTTCCCGAGAGTTGCAGCCTGCTGAGACCAACCGTTCTAACTGACCAGGTGAATGGAACCACTGCGGAAATTGCCCAAGGGCTGGCGAAGTCAATTGTCGAGGCAACGAATTGCTGGCACGACGAATGCAGTGATACTTGTGTTGTCCCCTTCAGGTGAAATATGCTGCATGTGCGCAGGCATTTCGCTCGGAATGATGAAAGCCTGACAAGAATTTTGTTGCGCATATCCTGGAAGAGAGGTGGAGAAACATGGAGACACTGGCAACGACTTCTACATTACCTTGAAGACACTCAGTGCCAGCAAGGAAGTGCGTGTTCGGCTCGAAGCCCCATCGGCAAACATTTGCTGCAAGCAGGAACAAGTTGTGGTGGACTTCGGCGGCTTGGAGTTTGAGTGGATGCCGATCAGGGCGAACAAGGCGTACGAAAAGTGGCTTGAAGACAACGTGATAATTCGGTCACATGTCGGAGGCTTAGCAGTCGTGTCTTCAGCCATACCTGAGCATGAGTGCAATCATGAGTGGCATGACAGCACTTCGCCGATGCAAGAGGAAAGGTCACTGTCAGAGTGTACGTGTCTCAGGCCGGAGAGCTGTAGCAGGCTTCAGACTCAGCTCAGCATAGACCCACTGTGCACCAAAGTGTGTCCAGCAGGAACGATGCACCCTGCTCAGCATGCATGATGCTGAAAAGCTGCACGAGCTGCCTGACCTTGGACAGTCCTGATTCTGTGGAGGTGCGTAAACATGCATGGTTTGCCGGTCATTTTGCCAGCGTCGAAGCAGAATTGCATAGGAGGCGTTGACCCCCAAAAGCTGCCAGTTCAGTGTAGCTCTCATTTAGGGATGTGCGGGGCTTTGGATGAGGATTCAGTGCTGTAGCATCTTGAAAAGCCGCGGCCGCAAGAAGAGTGCTTAGCCTGGAAGAATGCAGCATGTGAGACCCCTCAGGGAACTTGTGTCCGTTGCTAGCCATGGCCACCACAACTGCAGAGCTGGAAGCAAAGCTGCGCCGGCGGATGGAGCAAGAAGCTGAGAAGTGGCTGAGAAGCGAAGACAACAAAACTGCAAGATAATGCGAGCCTTGCCGCAGTGTTTCGTGAACTGCAGGAAGTGCGAGGGCAGCAATGCCATGTCACCGAAGCGTGGGCAGCGAGTCTGGTCGGATGAAATGGCCAAGGCACCGAACCCTCGCCAGCTTCAAGCTTGAGCAGGGATGCTTCACGACTGCGGGGTTGCGTGCGTATTGCTGTCATGCAACTAAGTCAGTTTACAATAGACAAGTTCTTATAGCACACTGAACAGGGCATGCGAAGTAAGCGCGAAAACAGACGGCTACTGCAGCCCCCAGATCCGAAAGCTTGCGCATTATAGAATACTGTCGTTTGACCCAGAGGGGGTTTGCCCCGTCCAGAAGCACCGACAACACATGCTGCCTCCGCCAGGACGGCAAACCTTGTATAGAGAGTCAAGATAGACATGACAGCTGCAAGCAACGGCCCCTTCTCGGACGAATGAGAAAGAATCAGACACGACAGCAACTGCGACCTTGTCAGGCGCGCGCATATGCACTGTTAAACCCTTTCGCGAAAATCCATCCTCGGTTCCCTTGCGCAGACCGTGTCGCAGCAGCGCCGGGCTCGCCTCTCGAAGGGCCAAAGTCAAGGAAGTCGAGGCCGTGAACCAGGGGATGCCAGGGGCCAGAAGAGAGTGCTCCACTCCCCCGCTCCTGGAGGAGGCGCAGGAAATCCTCAAGATGTTGAGGGTATGGATGTGCTGCCTCGAAGCATTTCTGCCTCCTCATCCTCCAGGCGAGCGCCGCGTTCACCGTCGTGCGAGCAACTGTTGAAGACTCTTTGTGAAAGCGAGGCCTCCTCGGGTCCAAGGAGAAGCCGAAACGGCCGGAGGTGCCGCAGAGCCCTGGATGACCTGTCGCTTTGCTGAGTCACAGCCAGGTTGGCTGCCACCAGCCAGGATTTACAGAATCGCAACCATTGCTGGCTGCATCCTCTTGGCAGTAGTCTTGGCAGAAAGTGAGTCTCACGCTCTTATTCATTTACCCTTGTTCCTGTCTGAGGCCTTTCTGTTGATCTGGGGCCAGTTCGGCCGCGCAGAGGTTACCAAGCGACATCCGGATGCATCAAACGGGCAAGACGGCTGGCGAAGCCTCGAGCCCCAAGAAAAGGACGGTGGAATCCTCAAGTGCAGCATGACTTGAGCCTCGTCCCGGAGCAGAAACCGACAGGACACCTTTGCAGAGGCTGAGCCAACAGTTTCTGCTTCCCCTGGAGGTTCACAGCTGTGCTTTGCTTGAGCTTCAGTCGCGTGGGTGCCAGCTCCTTCGAAGGAGTGCCGCTTGGTGACGACTCGGCCCTCAGTTCCGACCAGCCCGTAGCAGGCAGGGACAGTGAGACAGTCGCTTCGTGGTCGTTGTCCCACATGCAGGTATGCTTGAAGAAACTCGGCTGCAGGAAGGGCGGGACAGGGTGTCCATGCTGTGGCATATGTGGTGCATTTTTCTCTGTTGTAGAGTCGTAGAGGTTCGGATGCATAACCGTGCGGCAAAAGAATCGAAACAAACCTTGACCGGGTAGCTACATCGCTTTGGTGATGCATGTCGACGTTTGACTTTGCCTACAGATCCCTTCTCCCTTCAACAAACCCAGCTTGTGTGACGGAAATAGATGGACAGAGTACCCTTCACCGACAGAGACAGGGGGCGAGATGGGGGATCGGACGCGGGATGGTGGCACTGCTCGGTTACTGTTACCACTGCCTGTCTGTCTGGACATTAGCCTGTGCTGAAAGCTTCTCGCACTTTGTCCATAACTTGAAAGAAGAACCAGGGCTGTGGTGGTACCCAAGTCTATCAAAGATGCCCCCCGTCCCCCGGCAAGAGCGATGGACGAAGGAGAATGTTTCAGAAGGACAGGAAGCAACAAATGCATGGGCGAAAGAGTGGCGAACAGAGACCATGCAGGAAGAGCAAGAGTTGGGAGGGCCGGCCGCATGCCGAGGAAGAGGCAGAGCCTGACTTGGGCAACGCTGAGGTCTCCATTCCGAGTGAATGGAGTGTTCAACCCATGCATTCCGGAGCTTACGTCCTGACTGCAAAGTGCAGGCCACAGCCATTGACTTCCACGGCATGGTCAAGGACGGGGAATGAAGTTGCCTTTGCCAGAAAGACTCAGCGACACTCGGAGGCAGCTCTCAGACTTTGTCGCATGGTGTTGTCTGGTTAAGACTAGTTAAAATCCCTGGGATTCATTTTTTCGCGTGCCTCGCCTCGCACGGCCTTAACACCTTGCTCAGCCTTGCTCGTCTAAGGACAGTAGGCAAAAACATCTCGTCCTTCATGCGCTTGTTGTTTGTCCGAACGAAGACGTTGCCCTCCCCCGACCAGCTTGCTCTTGTCGGACATGCTGCATGCGACGCGTCCTGCAGGGCCAAGTCTGCTGCTTTGCTGTGGCCTGTAGGGGCCTGGCATTGCTGCATCTCCCCACATTGAGCGAGTGCCACTTTTGTTTGCCATGTCAATCGTCAATCTATGTCAATCCGCTTGTGCATCCACCCTGCCGGCTACTGAATGTCATATTCGAAAAAATGCTCAGTGTCCTTTTATGTGCCCTTCGCGTTTTAAGAACCCTTTCGCGATTTCAGTTTTGTACGTGCGTGCCCAATTCGGACCTTGCAGCTTGACAAGACCGCATGTCGTTCTAACAGCTGCTCTTTACATGGGCTAACCTCAAGACGGCATCATGCAGATTTTCCTGGGAATTTTGCAGGATGCATCCATCGCGCAGCGGCCTCGGAAGCAGGTGCAGGCATAGGCTCAATCTGATGTGCGCAGAGAGAAGAAGAGGAAAGGACAGGGTCACACCTCACTTTTGTGTTTTGGCACCATCCGCTCACAGACGGCAACTGAAGCTTCGTTGCGGAATTGCGCCGACCGCCGACCTCTAGCTTTCAGTTTAACCGAGAACCTTCACAGTTGAGACGGTTGAGCTTGTCGAGCAAGTGAGCGACCAATGCTTGCTCATGTTTCGTACAAGCTGGGGGCATGACTGCTCTGCTGGCCATGTAGCCAAGAGACACCCAGGTCCCATGGCCCCTCCGTGAGCATCGACGCGAGGACAGCACACTGCTCGCAGCTCGCACAATGAGTCAACGGTGTCCGAGATGTGGTGGGTTTGACTTCGTCTGGCGACTTGCAGCAACTTCGCTTAGCAGAAATACGTCTGTTCATAGGACTAGCGGTGACGTGTCGGATGACTGGCACATTTTCCTGGACCAGCACCCTGCCCTTGAGCAGGTGCCGGTTCTCAGTCTCTCTCTCTCTCTCTCTCGCCCTTCTTCCCTGAACCTCCAATATCTATTCTAGCTCAGAGGCGCACGCAACCTCGTGGGGGCAGGTGTTCTCCTTGGGAAAGGTGACGTTCTCCAAGCATTCATCGAGGACCGTCGCATGAGTTGAATTGCCCCACATGTTTTCTTCTGCGCGGACACTTATGACGACTGCCAGACAGCGACTGGGAGGAGCTCCAGTCTTACTTTGAACGCCACGATCACCAACACAGGCTCCACCGCCTGGCTCGAGTCTGAGGTTCCTTCCGGAAGTTCCGGCTGGCTTTCGCTAGCAGCCGGCACATCGGACACCAGGGGCCTTGAAACCACATGATGGTTCCGGGCGTCGGCTCCCTTTGTGGAGGTCTGTGTCGAGGTTCTGGTCAGCAATCTTGCCGTCTACGGTGCTTTTGACGGCCTGTCAAAAACGGGGATTTGAAGTCTGCAGCTCTAGAAACACTTCTAAGACTTCGACAGATCGCAAGACCAATGCCTTCTTAGAGCGTTAGCCTCATGTCGAACTGTGACGTGTGAAGCTTCCACGAGGTCAACAGCAAATTTGAAACTTGTTGTATCCGTGCTTCTTCAGATCAGAGGAGGTTCTGAGGCATAGCGCAAGGCAAAGCCCGAGCACAGACAAAAATCTTCGGTAGAAATCCATGACCAAAAAGTGTTTGCCTTCAGGTCCTCGGCGGTGCTGCAGGCTGTGCATGGGTCGGACATGGGCATCTCAAGCCTACCATTGAGCGGGGCATCTTGGCAGCAAGAGAACGTCCTTAATAAGTACTTCCGCAGTGTGGATGCCTGTGTCCTGCCAGCCCCCTTCCGTCCAGGTCGTCGAGCCTGGCAAAGATTGCAAGGTGTCTCTGCGACTCAGACTGCCGCACGAGGCATCTTAGCCTGCAAGCTGGCAGTGTGCACAAGACTGGCGGATGTCCGGGGGGCCGGGGCAGGATGTGATTCCAGCATCTATGTGGGCTTTGAGCATAGACGACCGCGTGTTCGGTCCACTGCTCCTGCTCGCCACTTCGCAAGAGAGGCTCTGAAGGTCCGAAAGGTGCCCAAGTCTATGTCCAGCCAGGATTCAATCTCATAGAAGCCAACGACTTCGCGTGTGACACCAAGGAGTTGGAGCAAGAGGAAGACGCTTCCGGCAGTTCGGTTCCGAAGGCCAAGTTGCTCAAACTTGAATTGGAATGAGCATGAGCCCCAGCGTCTGCAGGAGCAAAGAGCTTCCGCTCGTATCTTCGAGGCGCCAAGGCGTCTCTTGACTGATCAGGCCCAGACCATGTACACATAGGACAAGCTGCTGTGCCTGCAGGGGGCCCACGCTGGGTAGACACTCTAAGCTCTTGTCAATGCGTGAGGCGCTTCGGGAGGATGCGGCAAGGGTGGGTGACATTTCCGAGGACAGCTGACCGAAACACGGCCTCGGCAGCTTGAGCATTTTCCGTTTGGCTTTGATGAATTTGATTAATGTTAGCAGAACGGTTAGGAATGGGCTGCCGACCTTGCCAAGACCGGTATGGCGCAGGCACCGATTCAACTCGATGTCGTCAGACACGGACAAAATGCTTCAGCGAACAGCTGTGTGGAGCCCATGGCAGGCATACCGGCTTGGCAGCATCGTGGTCGGGTCCCCACTTCCGTCCACAAATTCATGTCGAGGTGGGTGTCGTGCACAGGACGCATACTCAGGCTGCCGGCAGACAAAGAAGCAGGAGGTTGTGCAGCAACGCAAACCAGTGAACGAAACCAGAAGGTGGACCAACAGCAAAGCCAGACGCGCGCACAGACTTTAGCGACCGACTTAGATATCACGTGAGCGCTCCTCTGTGTTTTCAGTTGGGCGTGCCTCACCATTGTCTTTTTTGTTTGATTTTCGGAATTGGGCTGATTGGCATTTCCGGCATGGTGTTCGTTCTGACACTTTATCAGGTTCAGCAGACGCCCAGGCTCAGCGAAGCGGTGCGAACATGGACCCGAGATTTGGTCTGTGTAGCCACCGCTAGCTTTTCCATGGACTGAACTGGGGGGTATGGCAACGGATTGATAACACGATTCGGAGGTCGACCTTGATTTGCCAGCTGTTTTCTGCCCAGCTTTCCAGCACTCTTGTCCCCTCCAAACAAGTGGATGATCTTAGCAGCTGCTGTTGGAATACAGTCCAGGACCAGGATGCAAATGGTCAATTCGCAACACTGTTCTTGCAGCCCGAGAGTGAGCGGCCGACATGGGTGGAGAGACCGCATGATACCAGCATGAGCAAGGTCACCAAGTCTTCGCCTAACCGGATGGCCTCCTTCGAACTTCTTGTGCATTTGACGCTGGGTGCCTACTCTTTTTCGCCGGCATGTCGGAGTTGTACAGTTTCTCTTGTGTACTCAGCCTGGCAGGAACACAGGAGAAAGTTTTTGGCCAGAAGGCACCAGCCTCCGTTTGGTCAGTGGCAGATCTCTCGACTGCGAAGTCGTGCCGATTAGCCAACAGGCCCGGCCGAGCCAGGTCTCCACAGTTGCATGTGTGTGCTATTGTACCTTCGGGGCCGTAGTTTGAGAATCGTGGTTTTGTTCTGTTGTGTTGGGAGCCAGATGACTCAAAATTAGACCCGTCCGACCCATCTGGCACCCCGTGGTTACTTGCAGCTCAGCTTTGGCAGGTGGGCCCTGGGCTGTCGCCTGAGATGTGGAAGGCTGTCCCGTGTTCAGCCCAGACAAGCCAAGGTCCTCAGCTGATGTTTCGATGAGACTCCAAGTTCCCACCCAGGCAGCACAGCCCAGCCGGAAGCGTGCAGGGGTCCGCAGGGTAGCAGTCTTGCGTGCACCTGCGCAGGAGGACCCGGAAGAGATAATCCAGGACAGCGTCGTGAGACCCAGAAGCCTGCAGAGCGAGAGAACGAAAGATGGGCTTGGTACATCTTTTTGCCGATTTCGTTACCAGTGAGCGGACTCGTGCAGGGGAGGGGGGGTCTTCTCTTCTTGGCTTTGCTGAAGAAAACCATTATAGACTGCACGGACTTCGCACGGGGAGAGAGCGGTTGTCTTCGTCCTCTTCAACAGATATGCTAATGTCTACTGTAGCCGATGTTCACGTCCGGACCGCTAACCTGAGCCGACAGTTCACGGTGTCGGGCGGCCAACTGTACGCCTACGCAGATCTCACCCTCAGGTCCGTCGTTGTGTTCGCCTTTCCTGTCATTTCCCCTAGTTACACAGCAGCGACGTTTGCACTCATCAACAGTGTTCTCCAGCAGGTGAAGACCAGAGAAAATGCTTTACACCCCACCCTAAGTCTTTAAAGAGAAGGGTGTACGACAGATGTTCAGGGCAGCAGCTCTCTGATTTCTGGTTCTGCGCAACTCACTCGTTTATCCAATCAGGTGGCAATTTTTCCGCACTCTCACACCTGCAGTCGAAGAGAGAAGTGTTTCTATTATTTAGCTATACAACTGATGGAGACGCGGGGGTTGTGTTGAGGAGCTATGAAGTGTAATGGCAAGATACATGTTGAAAGCCGAGGTGTGGGCCTTGGCAGACCGGGAACGCTTCTTTGGGCCTTTGCTGATTCTGGAGCTAAGCGAGATCCACAGCACATGGCACACCGTATAGACTCGTCAGTGCTGGCTTTTTGTATATGGAGCTTGCCGGGAAGATGCTTCAGATTTGTCCAAAGGTCGCGCTTCGTGAGGAATGCCCTGGATGGCGACGCACCTGTGCCGCTGACCAACATGGCAAAATGCCTGCTGAAGCCGATGAGTTCGATCGCCTGCTGCCGCATGACAGTATCATGCGAAAACAGCCTGAGTAAATTGAGTTGACATGCATCAGCGTGGGAGCTCAAGTTCATAAGCTGGAGTCCCCCAAGCGACATCGGGTCGCCCGACTGGCACAACGCGCGGATGTGGGTGTAACTAGGCGAAAAGAAAGGGTCGGCTTGCAGCATCGGCATCGCACAGTCGCACAGTGGAGCCGGAACGCCAGATCAGCCCAAGGGCCCAGCATCCCAGCGCCGCAATGCCACTCGCTCGGACGCTTTCTCCGCCTGGTCTGAGCCCCGAGCTGCCTGGAATGGTAAAGTCTGACACGGACTGGCCAGGAGCCTCTTATTGAAGATGCCGAAATTTCATTAATTTAAAGCACCGCACCTCTATCCGGCGAATGAGCGGCTTTAGCAGCATCACCGGGTTCTAGAACTCAGCAGTGCATCACCCTCGATTAACCCCACACCCATTTCTGCTACTCGCACCTTTCCCAGAAGACACGGCTGAGCCAGGCGATGCCCTTCTGGGAGTCCAGTCTCGCTTGGATAGGCTCTCCGAGCAGGTCGACGCATGCCTCTCGGAGATCTTGACTTTGAAGTCAAGCCCACACACAGCGCCTGCCTCCGTGCGCGGCCCGCAAACAATGGTGGTTCCCTCCACGCCGCCCCTGCGATCCTCCATTGTTTCGAGGGCCTCAGTGGAAAGCTTGTCAGCTGGATCTGCTCAGGAAGGGAGGGTGTCTTCGTAGTGGTGCCTGTGTGCAGTCGCCGAAGAGTGCCTTTCTTCGTGCATGTCCCTGACAGGAGGAGCGGCCCCGATTGAACCGTTCATCCATCATGTCGCAAGTAACTGTAAGCACCTCCGGGATCAGTGCGCGGACCACGCTCAGCGGCGTTGGGAGGCATTGCGCGCTGCTTCTTGTCAAGCTCGCACGTGCAGTTTGCAGTTCAGAATGTTTCGCATTTGTTGCAAGTGGAACTGCAGCCAGGCGAGGTTCGACAAAGTCAAAAGTCAAAACATATCGTGCCCCGCAGGCAGCAGCTGCTGCCCTACAACGAGTTTGGTAACGCTGAAGTGGTCAGTCGGAGGCAGCTTTCACGTAGACTAGTGCAGTATCGACGACGAGCGCGAGCGGAAGAACGGTTTCTTGACGATCCAGCAGATGCCCACGCAAGTGCTGCCAAGCAGTGGCTTGTTCAGAGGAGCCGGTGTGACGCAGTCTGGATAATGCTGGATGAGCCGGATTCGAGCCGAGTAGCTTGGTGGATTGCTCTCTTGCTCAGGCTGTTTGTGGTCGCCAGCATCGTTCTGATGTTTCTGCAGGTTGGAGATGAAATCTCGCTCATAGATTCGACAACGGCTGCAGTTCTCGAGGCAGTGATCGACTCAGTATTCTTTATTGAGTTTTTGTGTCGCGTGCTTTCCGCACCGTCGAAGAAGACGTACGTCCTGGACCTTTACAACTGGGCAGATATACTTTCGGCTTCAGGCCTGGTTCTACGCTCGTCCATGGGTTTCGTCCCAGCGCCATCGGTGTCTCCCGAAGAGAACGTTGTCCAGGCGCTGCTTTTGTACGTTCTGCCAGTCGTGCGCTTGCTAAAGTTGCTGAGATACATGGCTGATGCTAGAGGGATCTGCTTAATTGCCGATTTATTAAGTTATCATGGGCAGACCGTGGTCCTCATCCATTCTCGTCAGCCCTGGAAAGCCAAGAACGTGTTGAATGTTGGAAACCAAGGATACATCAGCTCCTTTCGACTCCTGATTGATGCGGTTTCGAACTCCCTGGAGTCCCTGCCCGTTCTTCTTTACACGATGGGCTTGATCGTCATGGCTTCTGCTAGTGGCTTGTACCTGGTTGAGGCGAGGTCCAACATTCCGACCTTGGCATCTTGCTCAGCAGTTTTCCGTCTTGTGATCTGTCTATTATCTGTGCAAAACCGAAGGACGCAGAAATGCATGGGCAAAAAGATTTGTCAATCTAGGGGCGTATGGAGAGAGGCCAATGGAACTGAACTACCATTGAGCTTTGCAGGTGCAATAGGACTTCGAGTCTCTTGCCCCAGCGAAACAGTCAACCTAGTCAAGCCATTCAAGCTGTGATGTACCATGCATTTCAGCTCGAACCGGTTTCTGTACCTGAAACACCGTTCCTCCGCAACTCAAGGCACACTCAGTTTGGCTTGCCATTGTAACAATGACGACGGTGGGCTACGGGGATTACGCGCCGAAATCTACCGCGGGCTATGTGATCGCCTCGATCCTCACAATTGTAAGCGTGCTGTTCATTGCTGCCAGGCAGTCAAGGATCTGGAAGATGATCATGATAAGCAGATCCAACAGGACATTCGAGCGAGGCACATGTCCTGCTATTTAGATAGCTGTGCCGAGCTCGTCATGCCATGACGTATGCAATACGCACACTGAATCGTAGCTATGCCAAGCTTTCCCCAGACAACATAGATCCGGACTTCGCATGTTGCGCCGTAAGGCTATGCCCGTCGGGCTTGTTGGCTACGAGTTCACAGTTTGTTGGCAGAATCGTGCCAGAGTGCTCCTATTGGCGCGGGCCCGCAAGCGCTTCGCGCAGTGGGGCTATCAAGGTCGCGATGTGCAACTGCTGTTTGAGTTTGCAGACACCGACAGGGACGGATCTCTAAATCTTCTGGAGTTTTGCGAGCTGCTCAGCGAAATGAAGCTTGGCCTGCCCAGTGACAGCATCATGGCTCAACAGCACAGGTAGAGGATAATCCTGAGGGTGGGGTGTGCTTTAGGGGTTAAGTTGTTCGAGACACAGTGACAAGAGTCCTTCTGCTTTCAGATGGGCTGTCGAGGCATCATTGAGCTGTTCCAGCTTTTTGATGACGATGACAATGGCTTCGTTGACCTGACAGAGTTTGTTCGAGTGATCTTTCCGGATCGTGAAGATGACGACGGCGCTATCACACCTTCAGGTTCAATCAGGGCATCGGTGGTCGCTTCAACAACGAACCTCCCTGCTGTGCAGGAGACGGAGGAGTCAGAGTAGCTAGTGC